TTACGAGGAAGATCCGCGGCCCTCTTTATCACGTCGGTTCGGCTCGTCGTCAGCGTCGTCGGTGGCTGCGCCTGGAGACGCGGGGCATCAAATATTCAAGGTTCCGCCGATGGCGTCAGCCACGCCTGTCACACCTCGCGTTACACAGGTTTCCATCCCCTCCGGCTGCCAGCCATTTAGCTGATTTAGCGACTCCGAGAGTGGAACACCCTCCACTTTTCCGGCTCTCAGCGTGTTCCGCGTGCCGTGACACGCGAATCGAATTTGTCAAAGACGCCGTCTCTCTGCCTACTTATGCCACGCTGCTTTCCAACCTCCCCCGGCCCGCCCTTCGTCCCTTCCTCGTTCCGTTACGGATCTCGATGGTACTTCTGCCGCCTTCTGTCTCACCGTGCTTCCATCCGGCTTCTCTCGGCCGCGGGTTCCGAAGAATAAGGCAGCTGTCGGCGACGTACGCGTTCTGGAGGAACAATGTTCGGACTGCGCGAAAGTCGTCGCTACGGATCAGACTTAGCGTCTTTGTGAAAGAGAACGATGGCGGGAGTTGCAGATTACAGCTTTTAATCACACTTTTTCTTTGTCAACCTCTGCGCCTGTAATATCTATTTTTCTATTATCAGTTGTTACGCTTTAAAGTAAACGTAAATGTGGATGAACATGGAGTTCTTGGTTTATAGTAAATTATTAATGACAGAGTACTTCTAGTTTGCGTTTATAAAATATGTCCTAGGGAAATAGGTTCGTGTTGTGCTTTTTGGCTTAGAAACGATTCGATAATAATAATTCAGTGAATTTAATTGGAGAGTATGTTCCTCGGGATGTTAAACTTTATGATTTCCATTGGATTCTCGCGCCGCCCAAGACAAATGATGAACGGTACGCGTGAAACAGGAGGCAGATAGATAGAGAGAGAGAGAGAGAGAGAGGCTCATTTGCATCGGACATGCAAAGTCTCTCCCGCGAAAGAAGACACGCGTGTCCGGCTACCGGTTGAAGTTGATAACCGCTCGTCCGAGCTTGTTTCGCTCTTACTTTCCAATGTTCCGCTGGAACTGTCATTCGCTGGCCAGCTGGAGTCCTTCGTTCGTTCGTTTCCGATGGTAATGCCGTGGATTAAGAAGATCGTGCTAGTAGAATACTAAGCTGTGTAAATTTTAAAATTGAACTAATAAACCCCGGACGCTTTACAGCTAGTGGCCGTGTCATGAATAAGTTAAAACTCCCGGGGTACACTGAATTTTAAAATCTATTGAAATATATTACATGGACACTAAATAAACCGAATTAACCGAAACTTTCTTATTTCTACTCGCCGGGCACAATCGGGTGAAGAACTGGTTAATAAAACCTTCGGGACAGGGAATAAATTCCCGTTTTACAGCCCTCCAAATTACTGTCTCAAAGTACTGAACAAATATTCACGGTTCATAAGTGTTCGAGTAACTAAACGCCCCAGATTCTCACACGCGGGGTATCGTAAGTACCCCAGGGCAGAGTCATCAAGAATCCCGGGCATCGGTGCGTCGAACGGATGGCCCATAGAAATCTGCCGGCGATCTCCGGTCTCGTATCGGCCGGCCGCCGTTCCAGCGTTTTATATTTATTTTTACATTTCCATCGACAAATTAACACCGTATTTATAGATATCGCTGCCGCTAGTAAAGACGAGGAGCTCTCCCGTCGACTGCGTTACAGTTACCGAGTCCGGATATCGCGATCTTCCCAAGTGTTCGCGCACAACGCGCTCTCGCCCGTCTATCTCGGCCGTGATCGCAATTTATTCTCGGGGACGAACACTCCTGCCCTACGATTTCCACTCACGCGTTATGAGTCATTTACGAGCGCGGCCGATAGGAGTCGCGTTAACGTTTTTACGACGTGTGTTCAGGGTACCGTGGTCCATCGCGGTCGCTCCGGGATGTCGGTCAGGGCGCGGACGATTGAATTAAGCGTCTTAAAAGCGGCGGGCTTGCTCGCCTGCGGATCATTCCCCCGGCCGTCCATTTCGAAACGGTGCAAACAGACTTTTACTACCCTCCGGCAAACAGAACTCGCGCCTCGCCTCGCTCCACCCCGTCGCGCCTCGCCTCGCCTCGCTCACTCGTCCCGGAACTCATCCAATTAATCATTTTACGATCCATCGGCTTTTTCTCGGCCCTGCCACACCCACCGGTCGCATTTATTCTCCTCGTTCCCGACCTCGTCTTTCCACGGGATGAAGTATTAAAACAAGCTTGCTCCATTCCCGCCTCTGCTATTGATTTATATTCACGCCGCGTTCTTCGACCACTTACTCCGACGGCCCTACGCTCCGCAGGAAACCGATAGGACGTAACTCCCGGCCCGAACTCTTCAAATTTCTTGCGGCTCGACTAGAGCAGTCTAATCCGCGGCGTGCCGATCTAGAAAGCTTTCGTGACTCCGGCTGATACGGGGCGCGAGCGAATTGATAGCGACGCATATTAATGCGCGACTGTTTGCTTCGTGGTCTCACGGGACATAGCGGGTTACGTCGGTGTACAGGAGTGTCGAGGATTCAAATTTCAGATTGCGAATCTCGGTCGGGCGACGCGGAGGTTTGACAGGCGAATAAAGTGAAAGGTCTCCGAGTTCTCGATACGCGGAAGCAGAGAGAGAAGCGATCGGTTACTGGACGTTGATGTTAGACCTCGTTTCCCGTCGAGTACTTAACGAACCTCGCGACGGATCTTACTCTGACCTTTAGAAAATGGATTCGTAAAGTTTTTCATCCAATTACCAAGATAAAACAGCCGGACCTTCGACAGTTTCATAGTCCGGGGAATCACGGACGTCCCGGAACGGCCGGGTCTAATCAACATCTCGTCAGAAGCAGCGAAAAATTTCATTTAATAACCGAAACAAAGGACGGAGGAAATAATAGGGAAAAAGGATTGGGCGGGGAATAACGGTGGGGGCGAGCGTGCTCGTGAAAAGTACGAAATCGTCGGTTGATAATGGGCGCAGTTTATCAGCCCCTCGCCCCACGGCCGGCGTTTCCAGCGGCGGGAGTAAAATCCACCCCCCTGCGCGCAGTTTTCCGCGGAGAACGGCCGGCGAGCCGCGCGGGAGGGTGAGCGGTTTCATTGTACACGCGGGCTGCAAACAATAATCATGACACGCCGGATTGCCCGGCAATGACAATGGAATTGATGATATATCGATTGCCGCGGCCGACGACACCGTATAATTGTTTTACAACGGCGCCGGTTCCGATAGAGAGCCCTGCGGCTACGTAAAACCGCAGCCGAACAGCTACGCGCGGGATGTATGCACGCCTACACAACCCTTTTCAACGATCGGACGACAAAAACAGGAACAGAGAAAGAAGATAGAGCGAGAGGGACGCGAACGCGGAAATAGAGGGGATCAAGGTGGGGGAGAGTCGGTTTCGAACCCGATCATTCGCGAATAATTATTATTGTCCGACGAATCGAACCGGTTGTTTACGAGATACGCAGCCGGGAAACGCAGTTTCGGAGATACACGTTCGCGTGAGAATCGAAAGGTCGTCGGTGAGAGCAGCGATTTCGATGGTGGTTCGAACAACCGGCGCTCGTTTGGTCGACGGCTCGGGAATCGGTTGAACGCCCGCTTCTCGAAGGGTGTACAAATTGGAAGATTCAATTCGTTAGATTATTGCGAGTATCGATGTCAGATGTGTCGAATTTCAATTAGTTTCGGAAACGTAACGAATAGCGTGTTACAAAGTTAACGTACGTTGTCTGTTTGAGTAACGAGGTCGTTAATAGTACGCGATTGTATTCTCGTTGGGAACTCCGAGGCAAGAACCAGGTTTCCTCGAGCGCGCGTATTTCCCCGGATACGTTAACGGATTAAGATGGAACATCCCACGCAATTCTTTCTAAAAAAATCATTTAATTCGGCGGACATTAAATCCTCATTCATTCGCGCTCGCATCCTTCTCCATTAAACCCGACTTCGCTTTAATCAGCGTCCGGGGCCATTTACAAAGGAACAGGCTTCTTCTGCACCTACCAGCCACGAACACAAAGGAGTCCTCGTCGAAAGGAACACGCAGTTTCAAACCGGTCTCCCGTCCGGTGTCCGAACATTCTATCATTTACAGTCTCGAATGAAATTCAAACATTCTCCCCATCAAAGTTGCAGCTCTTCGCGAACGTACGAAAAAAAGGCAGGCGGCGTTAAAGGACGGCTGATCGCCCACGTTTCGAGCGTACCCTCGCGGATCCCGTGTCCCATTATCGTCGGGCGTGTAGCAATCGCGCAGGGTCGTCCGTCGGATTCCTCGTGGCGCCTCGTTACGCCGTTCGATCGATTCATCCTCGAAGTAGCGACGTATTGTGCGTTTAAGCAAACAAGCCGGGAAACATTCTCGACGGCGAGTTCCGATTGAATGGCTTCTTAATTCACCTGGCAGCAGGGGCGAGCAGCGAAATAATGCTTGTAACCTCGTCACCGCGAGCGAGAGGAGGAACACGGGGTAGAAGGAGAAGCGTATGCGTGTCCCTCGTGCACGGACCGCTCTCCGGGGATAGAGAAAAAGGTCCTGTCATCCCGCAGAAGAGGGCCTCCTCGATCATCCCGCGCGTCGGCTGTATAAATATCTCCTTCCTGCCTATAAAAGATACCCGTAATTACGACGCCTTCGGTCGGAAACACGTCCGACGCTCCTCCTCTGGCCGGATCGGTCCCGTTACCGGGCGAGGGGTGCGCGATCGAACTCCCAGGGGTTGCTTCACCGGCAATCTCGGCCGTTTCGAGTGTCGCGGTTGCGTCACGCGGTCAGATCCGCGGATCAGACACCGGGGCACGTTTCTCATCCCGGAGGATGAGCACGGGAAAAGGAAAAAGGAGGATCGACGGGCGGACGAAAGCGCAACGATTCGTCGAGCGTTCGAAAGGACCGTGACGCGGTCGGATCCGTTGTAACGCGCGTGTCCTTTCGCCGCTGACGCTGAGACACCGGGATTAACAGCGTGACGATGTTTTTTGTTCAGGGATGTGCTTGTGCTGCGGAGGCTGCGTTCCTGGGATTGCCTTTGTCGATTTCGAGTGGAGTCGTTGAGCCGATGTTGTGCATCGTTTGGTTCGGTGAGTATTGATTTTAGAGGAACGAACGTAAGAAGTCTCTATTGTTATTCGGTTCTGGTGGAAGTTCGAACCTCGTGGTTCGAAGTGAGTACAAGAAGGTGTTTCGCTTTGTATCCGAGCGGAACGCGACCAAAATTTCATTGCGAATTCCCCGCGAGCCGGGCCAGGTTCCCGGCGACAACACGGTTCCGTGTAGGAAATTTCGCTTACACCGAGCAATTGGTCCCGGCACGTAGGGAAGAAAGCCCTTCTTGAACGCGTCGTTGCGTTAGCGAGGCGCGGAACGGCCCGAGAAATAATCCCCGCGCTCATAAGCAGCGTGTCACATGCAAGCGCGTTGTTGCGGGAGCGGATGTGTTCGCCGCGCTAAGAGAACAGGTGGTGCCTAAAGGGCGGAGAGATTTGTAGTTTCATTAGGCAGCGGCTGCTGCTTATGACGCCGGGCCCCGGTTGTCTACAACCACTTACATCGCTACTTACCTGCGTCGTAAGTAACCTATCTCTCTCGAATCAACGGCCTCGAGCGGCGGGGGCGCGCAAAAACTCCGCGCGAACGCGGTGTGTAGGCTGTGTCTGCGCGGCGACCATAATTAACACGCTTCGGGATCGTAGAACAACTCGGAGACAATGGAAGCGTGCCATTAGAGAAGGTAAAAAGTCTCTTTAACGCGTTTGCCGTGTGACGGCATCCGCGACGCGTCAGGGAAGCCTAACGATTCCTCTTAATGAAGTGTGAACGTACGAGTCGGTAATCACATCACGTTTGTTCTTGTATTTTCTTGAATGTCTTTACATGCAAAAGTTGCTAATCGATGTATCTGATCTCTATAGAATTTGTAATCTCTGTGATCTGTTTAAGGGTTCAGAGAGGAAGAGTTGATATGGAAAACTAAATAAATAAATCGTAGCGAGTCATAAGATGAAGAGAGCGTGTGAAATATTCAGACTTTGAAATGGCTAGAAATAGTGCTATGTATTACTGTTAGATATATTCTATGCATTACTAAACCAGTTACCGGTATCTACAGTTCACGTCTAGCATCAGCGATCCAGCCGAAGGGATTCGCCGGAACGCGAGTTCTTCCTCTTTATTATTTCCAGGTTCTAGTGCAGATCAATTTCCTAGATCCCGGGGGATCCTCAAAAAATAGCGGTTCGAAAGTTTTCAGCTTCCCGGGGACCGCAGAATTGGCTCTCCGGCGTATCCAGCTCGGAAAGTTCGTGCGGGATTGCGGCGCGGGTCGGGTCAGGTGAAAGCGGCGAAGAGATTTTAAAGAAGTTCGCCAAATTGCGCGACGATCTCGTGGAAACGACATTCCCTCCGCGTGTTCCGCACCTGAGCCGCCGCCATCGTGAAAGTTTTTGATGCCGGTGTCACATGGGCCGGCTTCGATTCCGCATTCATGCGTTCGCACGAAAAAGATGCAGATGGCGGTCGCATAATACGCGGCGGGGAAAGGGCAGCTGCAACGATCCCGACGATTTTGCGGAACGATCTGAATAAACACGGTTCGAGCGCTTCTCACGCGCCACGGAACACGAGTCACGGCGCCATTGTGCTCGCTCTCGTCGGTCAATTAGCTGTCAGGTTAATCCGTTGCCACTTACTTCGAGTATAAACATTTTCACCTATTTTCCTCCATTTTACTAGTACTTTCTTTGACGCGTTATTCTTTGCAGATCTTTCTTAAAACTGTTTGAAAGTATTGTTCGTGGAGCAAAATAGTTGAAATGAAGGAACGACTATTAGAGAAACTTCCAATCGATTTCTTCATTATTCGAGCATACCAAACAGAGATTGATCTCAACGTTAATTCTTCCGTCGATCGAAAAATCGGGTTATACAATTTTTAATCCGCCGCTCTGTGTATTCTTCTTTATCTTTAAATCGAAACGAAGCTGTCAGGATTCCCGCTGCCTCCGGTCCATTCCCCGCGGTTACTTCTTCCCTTTCTTTAATTGAACTTCGGAGAGGCCGCGGTCTTAATTCCAGGCAAGGTCATCCGATTAATCGGCCCGAAGAATGTAAAATTCGCCGGGGCGAAAGCGTCGGGGATGGGATAGAGGGAGAAACGGCGGGCGAGTTAATTTCATAGCTGATCACCCCGGGTAATCCGAGCAGGGGCGGCACCAGTGATGCGGAAAACAAAGCTGCAGGGTGCGACGAGTCACCCTACCAAGCTTTTCCGAGTCGTATGTCATAAGTGCTTCCGCGCTAGATTCATCATCTTAGCCGAGCAGCTTCCACCGGGGTTATCCAGTTTTTCCACCCTTGTCGACGATGCTAGACGGCCGGTGACGGGGATTATTCTGCTTGAACCGTCCCCGAACCTTTCTTCTCCGTGTGTAACAAATCTTTCGCCTGCGAGTCTCTTCTCTCCTCCGCTTTCTCCATTTTCTTTCAATACCAGACCTATATACGAGTCGCTCGGAAGCCAATGCGGTTGAGTCCAGAAAAGAAAAATTGAGAAAATTAATCTTTCGGCTTCTGAAATTATTATACAACGTATTCGGAAGCTATAAAAGAAGGTCTTTATAACCTAGAACAAACGAAGGAACGTAAATTCTTGAATAAACAGAATATTATTTATTCCATTAGAATTTCGAAAAGAATATTTAATTCTATTTACTTACTACTCAAACATTATCGTTCCTCTGTCTTCTTTATTTCAAACGATCAAACACCTGAAAATTCGGTACAACAATTCTCAACTATTCAAGAATGAATCCGTCTCCCTCCTCACGGCCACAAGCATTCGAATTCGCCGCCGTCAAAGGAATATACGAATTCCCTTAATAAAAAGCACAATACAAGTATAATCTTCAACTCGGAGCGAAATTGCCCGGAGCGTGAAACGAACCGCGGAAAGGCAAAACTCGCGGAAACTTCGCCGCAGGATCCGACCTGGAAGTTCCGCGCGCTTATCGTGTAACAGCCTGTACATAAAGGAAGATTCGCCGCGGCGCGCAATTTAAGTTTAAAGCTTCCTCTTCCATTCTGGAAGCGCGACTTTGACTGCGATCTTCGCCGCGACGTCCCGCGTTCCGTTCGTTAGCGCCACTTAACGTTTTACTCGCCCCCGTGAGCGCGCGTTTACCCCTCGGCTGATTTTTACGCGTGCATAAACCACGGAGTCGTTAAATCGTCCGAGGAGATTCCGGCCGTAGAATGGAAACGTTGTCGCCGGGAAAAGGGAACAGCGCGGATAACAGAAGGCGAGCGAGCGAGCGAGAAAGAAAGAGAGCACGCGTGGGGCGTGAGACGAGTACACGCCGCAGCACCCTAATGGTGGCTGCTTACGAGTTGATTTATTTATCGAATACCACGACGAATCCACCCCTAAGAGCAGGCCAGATTACCGGGGACCTTTCGTGTGTATCTTTCTCGCGGGCCTCTCTATGGGCGCATAATAGACACGCGTGATAGACGAGAGAACGACTCCGCGCGTCGCGTCGCGGAGAGCCGGTGCACCCCGAGAAGTGACGAATGTTACGAGGGTGAAGCATTCTGTTAATATTTGCTTACGCGAGCGCGACACGTATACTTTTCTTGTTTGTTATACGGTTAGCTAGCCTCGATGCTGGATATTGGGCATTATTCGAGCATTCGGGGTGGTTATGAATCTTTTCGATTGGAGTGGGGATGGTGGAGAGTGACATGGGAATTAGAGGGTGGATAGATTTTTTCGATAATATTGTTTTTCGTGTTTCCGGGGTTTTTATGACGGTTGCAGAATTATAGGGGTGATTGAAATTATAATGTTTAACACTAGGAACAGACGGGTAGAAATTAATGATTTCAAGGTTCTTATTGTGTCATTATTCAGATGATAAAGGTGTATTCGTAAGAAACTCAAAATGAATTCCTGCATTTGTGGCAATAGGAAGTTCTTCGAATCTTAAGAAATCTATTTGTTCGATTTTGATAACGAATTGTAAATTTGTCTTACAGCACGGTAGGTCTAGTGTTAAAGTTATTGATTCGAGTGATATTGATTCGTCGATGACAACACGCGTCGGCTAATGAAATGCGTGCGCGCGTTCATTATTATGTGCGGCATAGTAATCACTCTTGGGAGCGAGCCACTCGGCAGCGGAATCACGTTGCCTATAATCTCCCGTAAGCTCATAAATAATGCGCGGTCTACGTGAGACGTGTTCGCCCGCCACCTATGAAAAGCCGGGCCGCGTTTTTGTCCCATAAGTCTGATTGATTCGGCGCGGAATCTGATCGAAATTTCCCCGTTTGTCACGCTAAATTCGTAATGCCGCGCGATTATTGTAATCCGGCCGGCGAGCTTTACAGAATCTTCGAATCGATTCCGCGCGGAATCGTGGAAATAATGAAACACCGAATCCAACAACTAATTCCCATTTTTGCTAACTGAAACCTCGTCGCCGTTAAATTCGCAGTCCAATTTTCTCCCCGGGAAATTCTTCTTTCACCCGACGCGTCCGGCGAGCAACAAAAAATCTGCGCCGGGGCGACGACGCGCCCAGCAGAAATTTCAAAAAAAAGAGCAAACATGGCGTCGCGAAACAAAGACCGGTCCCGAGAGTCCGCCGGATGTCCCGAGAATTAATACCAAGAAAATCCTCGGGCACGGTCCCCAATAAAACCGGACAATGGCGTCGCCCCGCTTCGTTCCGTTTTTACAAATAAAAAAAGAAACGCGGCGAGAGAGCGAGGGAGGGAGAGAGAGGGAACCAAAGTGAGAGAGGGAGAAAAAGGAAAAAGGTTTTTCGTCTATCCGGCTACACACAAAAGCACGTGTACACTCGGAGGCGCATCGCGAATGACCGAGTAGCAGTCGTCCATATTTCCCGGTGTTCGACCTCGATTTCCATCCCCGTGAATCCGAACTCCGGCGCGCGGGTGCTCGGCCGCGAGGGCGGAGAGGCGGCCGGAGGGGTTGCTAGTCGCCGGGATCGAGGAGGGTGAGATTGCCGTGCGAGCGGATTGACCTCGCGATTTGACGCTGTGCAAACGCACCGGCCAA